CCACTTTCACCTGCAATCTGACCAAAGGAAGTCAGTTATTTGTCTATATGTGCAGATCAGCTTAGACTCATAGAATCATGGACTTGACTGAAAGGGACCTAAGAGATAATGTCATTCTTCTTTGTCATTCATAGGTAAGAAAACTGAGACCCTAGTAGTTAGACTCCTTTCCTAAAAAAAGAGGTGGTATGATGTGGTGAAAAGATAAGGAACTTTTTGTTAAAATGCTGGCTTCCCTCCTTACCACCTGTGTAATATTGATTATTTGCCCTACTCTATCCCACAAGCTGTGTACTCTTGGGTGAGTTACTTAGTGTTTCTGAGTTTCTGGTAAGATTTAGCCCAGAGATATAGGTAGTACATTTTAATAATTTGCTCTATTTGTGTTTTTCTTTCATTTTCTTAAGCCTTTAACAAGAGTGATCATTTCATTAACCTGTAGAAACTCATTTAGTTTTATTGATCTGATTTTTGCTTCTTTTTCTATTTCATTAATATTTGATCCATATTCTTTTCACTTTCTTGAGATTTAAAAATAAGTTATTATACTGAATGCTTATTTCCTCTTTTCTGATGTATAAACTTAAAGGTCTTTATTTTTATGTGTAGTATTTTAGCTCTATACTCTAAGCTTTGATTTATTATACTTTCATTGTTCATTTCAAACTATTTTGTGATTTTCATTTTGATTCTTCTTGACCTACAATTTAGTGACTTTTAAGTTTTCAAATCTACAGATTTTAGAGGATTGTCTTTTTTTCCCCTTTCATGGAATTGTTGGAGACAATACATAGACAAATACTTGGCAAATAGCAGGTACTGAACGAATGTTTTCTCTTTTCCTTCGAGAAATGAAATTCTGCTTTTTTTTTTTTAACATTTTAAAAATTTATTTGACAGAGACACAGTGAGAGAGGGAACAGAAGCAGGGTAGTGGGAGAGTGAGAAGCAGGCTTCCCACTGAGCAGGGAGCCCTATGTGGGGCTGGATCCCAGGACCCTGGGATTATGACCTGAGTGGAAGGCACACGCCCAACAACTGAACCTCCCAGGCACCCCGAAATCCTGCTTTTGAAACTAGGACAGAAAACATAAAATTGTAATTAGCATAACTAATATTAAAAATGACTTTAGTTCTATAATTTAACCAGATAAGGAGGCAATATATAGAGAACAAAGAAAGATGATGGAAAAGGATACAAATGGGAGGAGCGGAGGTGGGAAGGAGAATTAGGGGAAGATGTAGGAATGTCAAGTGAATTAATTCTTTTTTTTTTTATTTATTTAATTTATTTATTTATTTGACAGAGATTAGAAGTAGGCAGAGAGGCAGGCAGAGAGAGAGGAGGAAGCAGGCTCCCTGCTGAGCAGAGAGCCCGATGTGGGGCTCAATCCCAGGACCCTGGGATCATGACCTGAGCCGAAGGCAGAGGCTTTAACCCACTGAGCCACCCAGGTGCCCCTAGATAAAGAGTTTTGATTTATCTACTTAATATGTGATAGATAAGCATAGCTCTCAAAAATTATGAGAGCAGACATCCCCAAAGTAATTATTTCACTGTAAGTGTACTTCTTTCTGATCCTGTCAGTCAGGTTAAAAAGTGAAGGGATGATTTCTATTGCTTTGTTTTTTGTTTTAAACAAGAGAGTAAATTAGGCTTTTGCTTTGTCCTGGATTCAAACAATATATTTCCCATAGATAGGACTTTTTTAGGTAAGTTGCATGTATAGCATTTCAGGAAACAATGAAAAACTTCTTCATTGTGATAAAGTATTTTTTAAAATTTCAAAATTAATTATTTTGGCCTTTTGTTTTATTGTAAAATACTCAAACATGGAAGTATATACAGTAGGAAATCAGTTTGCTTCCTGATTTGTATGAATACCGTCTCTGGACATAACTGCTTAAAAGTTGGTGATATATTCTAGGCTTTCTGATGACAATTTAGATACAAACACATAATTTGTTTTATGTAAGTGAAATTATACTGAATATAGTGTTTGTATAGATTATTTTGATTACTTAACAATATATTGGACATATTTCTATGTATATGATCCATACTCATTCATTAGGTTTTAAAAATTTTTCCAGATTTTATGGTAGTAAGTCTGAAGTATAAGTACAGTTTTTTAAAAAAGATTTATTTATTTGAGAGCAAGCGAGTGGAAGGCAAAGGAAGAGGGAGAGAGACTCTTAAGCAGACTGCGCTGAGTGCAGAGCCTGATGCGGGGTTCGATCCCACAATCCTGAGATCAGGACCTGAACTGAAATCAAGAGTCAGACACATACCACCTCGGCTCCCCAATATGTTTTTATATGAAGATAACATACACTTGTATGTGCCTTAGCATGATAACAATGCTATAATAGTTGCTCAATACATGTTAGTTTTTATTCTTCTTCTTGGACATATATGAGAAGGGCCGTGGAAGATGATTAATCGTTTTTTGAGTAGTGAAACCTATAAGGATTCACAGTCAAAATCCACAACCATAATATTAATCTTTTCACTATAAAGGAAACCTTTCTTCTAAGGATGTTTGTGTTTTGTGATTTGGGTTTATAAATTGCTGCAAGACCAGCAGGATGGCTATATAAGAGTGTTGTGAGTTAGGTTGCTGATTATTTCAGGTATTTCTGGTAAGAGCAAATATTTTTTATTGGTGAATAAGACACCACATTATGGTTTATCCTTTTTACTGAGAGTGTACAGTATAGTATGTACTATAGAGTTGTACAGTATGTGATAACATTTTATGTGGGAATCTTGAACAAATTTCTTTGCTAACTCTGAAGATGTTTAGAGGCAGGTGCTGAGACTGGAAATCCAATACCACTGTTACGGGCAGGTAGGTAAATGTGTGCTTTGTGATTAAGTTTCAGATCTGATTGTTTCTAGTGGTTCTAGAGAAGAGGCTAGGAAAAGATGGATCTGGAGCTGATTGTTCATTATTTGTAAAGTCCTGTCTTGAAGTATTAATGCTTTATACTTTCTGTCCTCTCTTTTTCACATCTGACCCTTGTGCTTTTTGGCAGGGAAGTTGTGGGCCTCTGTTTTGGCCAAATCAGTAAAGAGGATTGGTTTGGGGCCCCAACTTCTTTACTCCCTAAGGAAAGAGTAAGGGGTGCTGCCAGGAGAAGGGCTTCCACAGTAGCCAAATCTGAAGCTTTCTATGTACAGGCATTGCCCTCAGGATTCCAGGCATTTATAGAACTATAAATTTCTTGTAGCATTCAACGTGGGTATATCAGCCTGTTTATCTTTATTTGTCAACACTTTGCCTGCCTAGTGGAAAACATGCTTGAGAAATAGTTGTTAGAACATAGAATTGGAAGTGCTACCCTAGCATGTTCTTGAACTTCAGATTGATAATCTGTTTTTCCGTTTTTGTTTTTGGGTCTTTTCTTGATTTATTTGTTTAAATGTTTCTTTCCAAAAGACTCAAGTTACTTAAAACATTTGAAAACCTGAGTTTATGGTTACACAAATGTTTTATGTGCCTCAGAGGCTTTGCTCACTTGTTTATTCATTTGTTCATTTATTTATTCAACAAATATTCCTTAGAGTGCTTATTGTAAGCAGGATTGTGGGAGGAATGTTAACAGTCATCTACTCAAAGGAAAAGCGGAAAATATATTCTGGAGAGATACCGAAGACTGAATGTCTGTAGGTAGATGTGTGTAAGAGAAAGACGCCTATCCATGTATATGTTTCAAGAGACATGGCGTAAAGTTCTCTCCTAAATATATTTAGAATCTGTTTCTTCTATTCCAGCTGTTGCTTCTCTATTTCAGGCCCTCAGCATCTCTCATACACATACAAGAAATACACTGTATTTCTTGGCTCTGGACTTTCCCTCTATTCTAACTTTACACTGCTTTTTCCTTTATATGGCTCTTCTCAAGAGTTTTCCCCCCTGCTAAAGTACAGATTGGATTTTGTGTCTCCTTTACCCACATAATAAAATTTAAAGTTCCTAATATATAGTTTTAGTACAGATTCTGTAAATAGTTCATTGATGAGGTTTTCCACAGTTATCCACTTTTATTTATTATCTATTCCATGGTGAGACCCTAACTGGTTTTACCTTGTTCTGATATGTAGCTCTGGATATATTCCATTTCCTTCTGTGGACCGGTTCTCATCATTGCCTACTCTGCCCTCAGTGCCAGGAGGCTGACCTTGCCCTTTGAGTTCTAGATGTGTTTGGACAATGGGAAACATTGGTAGAAGGAGAGTAGGGTTGCTGTGTTAATTTTTTGGCTTCTCCTGCCACTTCATGTATTGTTTGCTTTCCCAGAGGTCACAGTTCTCATGAAGCTGTCCTCTTTGTACTTTTAAGGCTTAGGGGTGGCAGCTTCAGGAGGTTGCACTGTCCCTTGACTCTGACCGTCTTCCATACCTTGTCAATAGTCCTTTATTAAGCGGTTCTTAAATTACTCCATTTAAGGGTGCTGTTTCCTGCTGGGGTCCTGATTGCTGCATTGTCTCAATACTCTAAGCTTCACTTTTGCTTGTAATTATAGCTGTTACTTTCCTGTAGCACTATCTCTTTTATTAAACATTTTTTGGTGTACCCTTACTCATTTGTCTCCCCTTCCAGTCTTTTTTCCTGGCACTGTGGTTGCAATATAATAGGAATTGAAATGTCTGAATGAATAAGAAGGGAGATTTTCAAGAGAATGGACATTTGAATTTCCCTGGATGGCATAATACTTACTTAGATGTCTGAAATAGGATCTTTTGAGAAAACATGGGGAGGTAGTATGAACTGAAGTCCATTTAATCACTTTAATGTCTAGATTTTTATTTTGTTCTTCTCATGAAGTAAATTTAGCACTCTTTAAAAATTGTTGCTTCAACTTATTTTTCTTTAGGTTTCAGATGTGCTTTATTTTTTCAGTCATGCCGTATTTTAATGGGTGCACTGTGCTTTTACTTGGCATCAGTTATGAAATTGTTTTGAAACCGTTCAATATTATACCGTCTGGGAGGGTTACTGATCTCTCCATTCCTTTGGGGTGATGCTGCCAACAGGGGACAAGATCCATTCTGTTCCAGTTTGTGTTGCTGTGTATGCACGTACAGCAATACAGAAAGTAGCTCCACTGGCTAATACAGCATTGCCATATTTGTCATGGAAATCGGATGTCTGTTTCTGGTGGCTCTGTGTTGCTGTTGCTTGCTGCATGCTTTGTTTTTGTTTTAAGATTTTATTTATTTGTCAGAGAGAGAGAGACATGCGCGCGAGCCAGAGCGCATGCGGACAAACAGGAGCGGCCGGCAGAGGGAGAAGCAGACTTCCCGCCGGGCAGAGAGCACATTGTGAGCCTCCAGGGGCCCTGGGATGGTGACCTGAGCCAAAGGCAGATGCTTAACTGACTGAGCCATCCAGGCGTCCCTTACTGCATGCTTTGATCTTGGAGACGACTAAGAGCATTTCTGGCCATGAGAAACATCCCGAAGCTGAAGACAGGGTGGTGCAACTGCAGCAACTGGTTTGCTACAGCTTTGTGCCGAGTCCCCTTGCAAAGAGACCTGAAAAAGCTGGTGCTTCTACATACTAAAAATTGACATTAGTTTCTCTTTAAAATGTGTTTGAGAGTAATTCCATTTATCCTTTTGGAATTTTGGAATATTTTGTAATACCATGTCTTTAAGGATGTATGTACTATAATATGGGAGAGATTTCAATTATCACTTTATTGAAGGAGAATATAGGAAGCCTATCTATCTGTCGAGGTATTCATTTATTTATCTTCCTCTGTATATCTTAGAAGGCATGCACTAAGAGCAGACATACTATAGTTAACAAGTATGTTTAGAAGACTGAAAGATGTTTAGCAAGAACTTTTATTTTTTTTTATTTTTTTATTTTTAAGATTTTTTATTTATTTTATTTGACAGATAGAGATCACAAGTAGGCAGAGAGGCAGGCAGAGAGAGAGAGAGGAGGAAGCAGGCTCCCTGCCGAGCAGAGAGCCCGATGCAGGGCTCGATCCCAAGACCCTGGGATCATGACCTGAGCCGAAGGCAGAGGCTTTAATCCACTGAGCCACCTAGGCACCCCTAGCAAGAACTTTTAAAAAGCGACTTCTCATATGGAAATATTTCAATTAAGAAAAAAAAACTCCTAGAATTATGATTTGGGTCAAAATATTTCTATATCCTTTATATAATGATATACCTATTCCGTGAAATGGTTTATTTCGAGAAGCATCTTCCTATAATACTTAGACACAGTACTCTCCATTACTATCCCCCAAAATTACTGTTGAAAATAATCTTTATAGCAGAGAATATTCCATTGCCTTTTTTCCTTTTTTAAATTATTAACATATAATGTATTATTTGTTTCAGGGGTACAGGTCTGTGATTCACTAGTCTTAGACAATACATAGTGCTTACCACAACACATACCTTCCCTAATGTCCATCACCCAGCTTCCCCATTCCATTGCTTTTTAAAATAGAGGTGTTTGTTTATTCTTGAGGGGGAGGTTAGATTTGCCCGTGTGTGTGTGTGTGTTGAGGGGGAGGTTAGATTTGCCCGTGTGTGTGTGTGTGTGTGTGTGTGTGTGTTTATCCGTCCTAGTCTTTTTGGGCTGCTGTGACATTATGGTGTAGACTGGGTGGCTTAAACATTAGAAGTTTATTTTTTCACAGTTCTGGAGGCTAGAATTCTGATATCGGGATGCCAGCATGCTTGAGTTCAAGTGAGGACCCTCTTCCTGGCCTATAGATGGCTGCATTTTCCTGTGTCCTGTCATGCCCTTTCCTTGGTGCATGTACATGGAGGGAGAGAGGGATCTCTTTATTTTCCTCTTCTTATGAGACCAGTCCTATTGGATTAAGTTAATAGATTTATGACCTCATTTAACCCTAATTACCTACTAAAAGACCTGACTCCAAATATGAAAAAATTGGAGTTTAGAGCTCCAAAATAAGAATTCTGGGGGCCACAGAATTCAGTTCATAGGAATGTACGTGTGTGTGTGTGTGTGTGTGTGTGTGTGTGTGTGTGTGTGTGTGTAATATATGAGTAATAAAGGAAATAATTGTAATATATTTAACTAGAAGAAAGTATTCATGCTTAGACAATGACAACCCAGTATTGAAGTTCAGTACTGAAGTTTCTTCATAAAGATATTGCTCTGTTAGCGGGCGTGGCATAATATTATAATAAAAGGGTGGTTATCCAAAGATCCCTTTTTCCTCAGACCTCAGAGACTACTCAGTTCTCACTCTCCTTAATGTCTTAGTATTCGCATCCTACCTTTGCCCAGATACTGACTTGTTACTCTAAGCTACTTCTCTTGGCTTTTGTATCACAACATTGCCCTACTTCTCTATTGTTCATTCTTTTGCAAGAATGGCCATTGTGTGCTGCTGAACAAAATGGACACAACCTCTGCCCTCTAGAACATGTAGTCATCCTCTTTTCCTTTTTTTCCTACAGTCTGTCCATGATTTCATTATGGATATTTAGTCATTAGCTGATTGTTTTATCTCTGTTAGTTTTGATTTTAGGCTGTTTCTGATCCATTGCATCCCCCTGGCTTAAGTTACCACCTCTAATGCCAGTATCTTGGGTATCTCTTTTTATTTCTGATTGTTTGCCATTATAGCCATTTAATGTATTTTTATTCAGAGCCCACTGTGTGTGTGTGTGCCTGGTGTAAAGAATGTGAGAATGATAGTCTTTGCCTTCAAGTTGGTGATAGAATGTCATAGGCAATATGAAATATAGTGTGATAGATGTGTGTATAATTTGCCACTGGACCAATACACAGGGCATGCCTGCCTTGGACTGAAGGGGAAATGAGAGGGCAGGTATCCCCAGTAGAAGGCTGAACGTAAATAAAGCCACCTAGGGTTTTGAAAACATAACATGGAAAGGCAACAGCAAATGATTCAGTGTGATTGGAATCTTAAAGGCTGCATGGAGAAGAGTCAGAGATGAGGCTGAGCATTTAAGAAGTTACCAGATAACCCCACAGGCAATATTCTCAATACTAAACTAATTTTCTTCCAACATAAACCATGTCCCACTCACAGCTTCACATTTCTGTCAGTGGGCCCACCATTCTCTTTCTTGCCAAACCCTGAAGTGTCCTCTTCAGATCTGCCTCCGCACTTGTAGTTAGGCATGAAGTTAAATCATTTCTATATTCAGAACACTCCTTTGTGCATTCTCTTCTGTTTTCACTATTAACACACTACTTATCAGCTAATTACTGGATTATTTCAAGGCTATATGAAATGGTCTCCTTTCTACTGTTTTTTTTTTTTTTTTTTTTAATTTCTAGCATCCCCTATTTTACCCTGTTGCTGATCCTGACTGAGCTAAGAGGGCAGTGATATTTTATTTCCTACAGGAAAAGTCCTTTTTTAGGCCAGTATTGTAAATATGTAATTCTTTTTACTAAATGCGAAAATTTCAAGCTCTCTTCTTCCCATTAAAAACCACAGAATTGGGTGCCTGGGTGGCTCAGTTGTTAAGCATCTGCCTTCAGTTCAGGTCATGATCCCAGGGTCCTGGGATTGAGCCCCACATCGGGCTCCCTGCTCAGCGGGAAACCTGCTTCTCCCTCTTCCACCTTCCTTGCTTGTGTTCCCTCTTTGGCTGTCTCTCTATGTCAAATAAAATCTTAAAACAAAAAAAGCAAAAAACAAAAACCACAGAATTGAAGAATTAAGAGTTATCCATAGCAAAGAACATTTTGTTCCATTAACTTTGAGTTTTCATTATGAACATAATATGTATTTTATACTGAACAAGCTTTTTCAAATCATCAGTCTCCCACCTCCCAACTTCTTGTCACAGTTCTCATGTTTTAATTTATCCAGATCACTTGCCTCCATGGGAGGCCACATATACAATGACAGTGGAAACAGCCTGTACTGGGATCCTGGTTTTACTCCTTATTCGTTTCAGCAAGGGTCCACATTTGTCTAAGCCTCATAATAACTTTATGTGAAAAATGGGAGAAGTGGTATTACCTGCAGGGTTATAAGTAAGAATGGAGTTAATCTGTGTAGCCCAGTGCCTGGCATGTGTGAGCACGCAGTACAAGTTGGCTCTAAAATGTTACATACCTTGAAAACCCCTTGCTCTTTCCCTCTGTGCTCTTGTTAGTGCGACCTCATGCTGACCTTGTTTTTTTGTACCACTAAATGCTCTCCCTGAGCCCCTCCCTATTGCCTGTGGTTTACCTGCTATGACAGGTTCAACTCAGTTGCCTTTTTAAAAATAGTCTTTTCTAATTACTCTAGTTCACGTTGACCTCTGAGTTCCTATAGGACCTTTTATATCATTTTAGAAATTAGACACACTTAATTTTTTTTTTATGGTATTTCTTTGTAAATTTACATAGTGTAAAATTCACTTATTTTGATGTACATTCTGTGAGTTTTGACAAATGCTAAGAGTTATGGGTAACCGTCACAGTCGAGATACAGAACAATTTCATCACCCCTCCCCCCCCCATAGCTATCTTGGTATTACATTTTAAGCAATTTCCTCCAATATACATTCTGTTTCTACACATAAGGTTTAGGCTCTTGAACCTAGTGTCAGTTTTATACTAGTTTGTCTCCCTTTGTGTGGCCTAACCTAGTGCTGAACATATAGCAAGTAGAGGTGAGAGTGTTTGCATTGTATAAAACAAAGCATAAAAACATAGTAAATTTCAACATACTACAAGGCTTCTCATTTAAGTTATTTAACTTCTCTTTGGTCTTTCACTTTACTTGGGTGAAAAGTTTGAAATGGATTGTATAATTGGCTCAAGTGATTTCAAGTCTTTCAGGGCTAATCATTTTAAATATATCTTTGGGAAAAAAAGGCTAGTTTCTTTCTGTTTTTATTATCAAATACACTTATGGTTTCTATTTTTTCCTAACCCTATTAATTTGCTTTTTAATGTGAAACAAATGTTTCTATTCCCCCCCTGAGTATTTTTGGCTGTTATATTATTGATAACTAAATATATTTATAGTTTTCCCTTTTTTTCTTAAACATATTAAAAATATCAATCAATTTGATTAAAAATAAACTAGTTACAAAATGTAAAATAGAAAGCCTCCTGTTTTTTCAGCTTTATTGTTCTATGGGCCAATTTTGCTCCCTTCTCTGGGTATTTCTTTTATTGATTGTCTTTAAAATCAGAGGTCAACGCAAGCAAGAGAATTTATACTTGATAAGTGTGGGGCTGATATGGACAAGCTAATGCTGCATGGTTTCCTTTATCTCTACTCTTGGGTATTTTGGAGTATTGATCCTTTTCAGAAAGGACCAAATATGGTTAAAATTTGCATCCCATTCAGTAGAGTTTACTTCATAATGAAGTGAATTGAATTTAACCATGTGTATCTTTTTTCCCTTCCCCAACAGCTTCCATGCCTATGGCTGTTCTAAATTTGGGCCAAATAAGTCCATTTCAGAGAGGCTTTTTCTGTAAAGACAACAGCATCCAGTATCCGTACCATGACAGTACCATCACAACCACTGTCCTCTCCGTAGTGGGGCTTGGTTTACCCATTTCCTCTGTAAGTAAATAAATAAGTAGGTAGTGATGCGTTTATTGTGCTGGAGGATGGATGAAGTGATGGAGTTGGGGTGGAAGTAAATCTGTAGTACTGTCTTCACCAGTGTTGATGTGGTGAATGACTGGGGAATATACCCACTGTTTTCATCTAGGAACAGTGTTACTTCAGTTAAAGGGGAATGTTACCCAAAATAACTTGAAGTTCTCATGAAGAACTATAGAATGATTAATTTACAATGGAAGTGTTAATTTAAGTCATTTGGACCAATACTTTTCTGTATGTAAGTGAAGAAAGTTAGGCCCAGACACTTGGTCAAGCTGTTTTATGGCAGAGCTGAAACTAAGATTATGCTTATTTTATCATATTTAAATGAATATTGAAACCATAAAAAAGGAGATAGATTTATTCATTAAAATTGAGAAGACAACTCAGCAGAAAAAATATAAATACATATGCAAAATAAAATCCTCAGAATACATCAAAACTTACTATTTTCTAAGTTGTGCTGATCTTTAGATAATTCATCGGTTTACAGGATAATATTTGTTTTCATTTTTTTAAATAACTGGAAACTTTCCTTCTAGGTTAAGTTTCACAAATTAGGTTTAAGATTGGTCCTTGAGATTTTGTGATTACTTTCTTTATCCTTGCCTGTGATTACTGAATCCTGCCCTATCCTGTTTCTCTTTATGTGAGTTGGAAATAGAAGAGAAGGAGCAAAGATTTACCTCCTTGACTGTCTTGGGATTGCATCCAGTGATGATGCTATATTTCTCCTTTGACCAGTTATCTTTTGGCAGTTGGCTTTGCTAAATAGTTGACTTCAAAATTTTTGTCGTAGCAGACACAGCAGCCTTATTTCCATAATAGGACAGGCTAGTTTTTCTTTTTTTATTTTGCCCTGATATGGCTAAGAATAATAACCTAACTAGTTCTTTAGTTTTCCATTTCATATCTGAGTTCTTTTTTTCTTTTTGGCTAGCAGGTTGTTTTGTTTTGTTTGTTTGTTTCTGGATGGTGTTTAGCACTATATTATGAAGGTAAAGGGGGCTGGGTTTTGTGATATATCAAGATAGAATAACATTTCCATATATTTTCTACATATTCTAATTTGATCATAACTACTTTTATAGCATTAAAAAGGAGAAAAATTTGGGATTTAGTTTATGGAGGTAATTACTTTTTCCCTAAAAAGTAAATTCTACCGTAACTGGTAACTTTTGCTTTAGCCTTCAGACTGATGAAACAGTGTACAGCAAAGCATATAGTACTGACACTTAGATGAAAATAGACTGTACTGTCTTACTGTAACTCTGCTTGTATGAAGTGCAGAGTGTTTTTTGTAGCCCTTATTTTGAGCAGCTATCACCAGGTAAGGTTTTTAAAAACCAACCCTTCTCTTTGAGGAGTCCAATTCCTTGAAGATCAGGAAGTTACTTCTAGTTATTTGACTTGGTACATTTCATCTTTTTCTAAAAAAAAAAGTTTAGTTATAACAATAATAGATACTCATTTCTGGGGCACCTGGGTGGCTCAGTGGGTTAAGCCTCTGCCTTCAGCTCAGGTCATGATCTCAGGGTCCTGGGATCGAGCCCCACATCTGGCTCTCTGCTCAGTGGGGAGCCTGCTTCCCCCTCTCTCTCTCTGCCTGACTCTCTGCCTACTTGTGATCTCTCTCTGTCAAATAAATAAATAAAAATCTTAAAAAAAACCAGATACGCATTTCTGAATTTAAGAAAATCTGTTAAAAAAGAAAAAGAAATCACCTGTAGTTGTACTGCCTGAAGACAGTTCATATTTTGATGTTGCTTCCTTTAGTTGGACAGTTTTATAGATCATTATGAGCACTTTGAAAATTCAGTTTTATTCCTTTATTTAGTTTTTACTAAGTTTTTAAAAATTTAGTTTTTACTAATTTTTATAACAAATGTTTTTGCATTATTAATAAATATGAAGATGCATTTAACAGCCATAAAGCTAAATTTTTAAAAAAATGGCAGGAAGTAGTAGTATTTGGCCAGTTTCTGGGCCTTAAATGTGCTGATAGCTTGTGGAGTATTATAAAGGTATTCTTGCAAATTCCTAGGGTAAATTTGTTTTTTGTTTTAATAATTTACATAACATTAGATGTAGAAGACAATTTTACCTTTCTGTAAGGTGATTTACATTTGATGTAACTTAATACACACAGATACTTTATAATTTGAATAGTAAGATTTTGGATGATAAAACATTTTTTAATTAGAGGAAGAGTGAAAGGAGGGAGCAGAGGGAGCAGGAGAGGGAGAGAGAATCTCAAGCAGACTCCACGCCCAGCTGGAAGTCCAAACTGGGGTTCTATCCCAAACCCTAAGATCATGGACCTGAGCTGATACCAAGTTGGATGCCCACCAACTGAGCTACCCAGGTGCCCCAGATGATAAAACATTTTTAAGGCCAAAACTTTTTTTTTTTTTTTTTTAAAAACAATCTAGCATCTTTTTTAAAAAGTGCATTCATCAGCTAATCAAAAAGACACAAAATTCAGAAAACTATATATATAGTTTTTAAATATATGTAAATACATATGTAATAATATATAAATATAAAACATATATATAATTTATAAAGGTATATAAATATAATTATATATAAAGACTATGTTTTGAGGATTAAGGTTCTTTATGGGTTTTAAGGATCCACTTTTTGACATCAGTTTTCTTTCTTTCCCTTTTGACTTCATGTATCTTCTCCCTCCTTATCTTTTATATTTACTTTTATTAATTTTTAAATTTCTAGAAAAAGGTAAAATCTTGAATTTGTATGCAAACTCTGAGAGTAATGATAGTAAAAGTAAAGTAAATATTAAATCCCAAATTCCTGTGTTGCAATGAATAAGTACACTTTTTCTAAAGTTTAAAGTGTATACAGTTTGGGAATAGAAAACTGTTATCTGCTTTTAATGGAATATTTTACACTAATTTGAGTAGTGACTGTGAGTAGTTGCCTTTTTTTAGGTTTTGTTAGTGACTGTGAGTATTTGCCTTTTTTAGGTCTTGAATGCTCTATGTTACTACCTTGTAGTACAAATGTTTAGCCTAAAATAATTGACTGTTAACCTAATAAAGACTATTTTTCTTTGGCCAACTTATAAAGCTCCTAAAAGGACATTGTATTATTCATAGTGACCTAAACTGCATCATGACAAACCACGGATGAATTTGGATACATGTGAAAAAGGCTTAAACTGTTTATATTGTATATACACACTCTTAGACGTTAGAGAGAAACAGATGAATGCTCCAAAGTTAAATGGACAAAGAGCACAAGCAAAAAGTTGTCTGTGGAAGAAAAAAATTGCCAAAAAATATTTTAAAAAAGAGTCAGTTTCTTAAAAAGTTCATTTTTTTTTTTGAAAGATTTTATTTATTTATTTGACAGATAGAGATCTCAAGTAGGCAGAGAGGCAGGCAGAGAGAGAGGAGGAAGCAGGCTCCCTGCTGAGCAGAGAGCCCGATGTGGGGCTTGATCCCAGAACCCTGGGATCATGACCTGAGCCGAAGGCAGAGGCTTTAACCCACTGAGCCACCCAGGCACCCCTTAAAAAGTTCATTTTAAAGCAACACTGAGAAAATGGTTTGGCCTCTTATGTTGGCAAAAGGAAAAGGTCTCCTTACATTATCAAGTATAGAAAACAAGTGTAGGGTACTTGGGTGACTCAGTCGGTTATGTGTCTGCCTTCAGCTCAGGTCATGATCACAAGGTCCTGGGATGGAGTCCCACATCAGGCTCCCCTCTTGGTGGGGAGTCTGCTTCTCCCTCTGCCCCCAACCCACACTCAGGCTCCCTCACTCTCTTTCTCTCTCTCTCACAAAAATAAATAAAATGTAAAAATCTTAAAAAAATAGAAAACAAGCATATTCATATACAAAGCTAGCAGGAGTATAAATGTGTGTTAAGAAGAATGTATCATTAGACCTAGAAATTATACTTTAAATAGTTTACCTAAGGAAATAGTACCAATTTCATGCAGAGAATTAGTTAGAATATTTATTATAGCATCATTTTTTATAGTAGAAAATTGGAAATAAATTAGTTCAGGCTTAGGGACTGTTTGTGTCCCATACCCCAGTGATGAAATATTGAGATATCCATATATTTTATAATTTTTGATACTTATTGACCTGGTAAGATCTCTTTTAATATATTAAGTGGGAAGGGGAAGGAAAAGAGAAATAATGGTGTTCTCTGATCACTACTGTGGTATTACCTTCATTTAATTTCTTCATTTCCATTTTATTTCTTCCTGTGTACACATACTGTTTTGCACAAGGAAGGCTATTTTTAAATTTTAAAACCCAGTAGAAATTACCCCATTTTCATTTTGATAAACATGAAGTTTAACTGTGTAAACTCTATACCCATTTTCATATAGTTGTTCCAAAAGCTGAACTGTTCTGTGTGTGGGTTTAATTTTGTTTGTCTCCAAGAAAGTTCCAAAAGAAAAGATATAAATAATGATATTTTGAAGATGCACAATAAATTAAAAACTCCACTTCTTGTTCTTGCTGGGTTGGCTTTGGTCTTAAGTGGACCTGCTGATAAACCTTTATCTGTCTCCTCAAAGAGAGAAATTTTGTCTTGTATGTAATAGTATACTAGAATCCAGTTCTGATGCTAACCACCCAGAACTGAAATCAGACTCCACCATTGGTTTAAGGTCATGGTTTCCAAAAAGACTGCCCTCACTTTAGTTGTCAGCTGTAAGTTTGAGGGTCACCAGGTCACCCATACTTCTGACTAATTGGCTACAAACCCAGGGGATTTCCGTGACCCCCTACCCCTACAAGACTGCCCTCATTTCAGATGGCAGCCATAAGGTTGGGGGTTCCCAGGCCACCTGTACTTCTGATAAGCCTACTATGAATTTGGAGGTTCCCATGACTCTCTCAGGTTTAATAATTCACTAGAATGACTCAGAACTCAGGAAAGTGCTTTTTTTTTCTTTTTAAAGATTTTAT